TTCTCAGAAGCAGGGGCAACTCTAAAGAAGCCCTCCCCCCGCCCCCGCCCCCCCACCCACCCTCTGCGCGTGGCTGCACAGCGACTCCGCTGCCCCACGGGCCGCCCTCGGGGCGCGCTCCGCCACGGAGTCTCGAGGCGGAGCCGCCGGGGTGGCGACCGCGGGTCTCCCAGGAGGCCCCAGCAGGGCGCACATGAGGCAAGGGTCCCCCTACAGGCAGGTGTTGGAGGGCCTGTTTTCTGAAAAGCAGATAAACAGACAACGAAAGATCGAAAATGGCCAAGAGATCCAAAAACACAAAACGTCCCCAGACTATTTCTGGACTGCTTCTGAATATTCCTCCTGTAGAGTGACGTGCCCGACTCAAGGCAAGGGGTCCTGGGACACACAAATAAATACAAACAAATAACAATATTGCCCATAGTTCCCCATAATTCCTGGGTTTTTGTCTTCCCCCTCCACTTCCAATTTTCCCATATTTTCCTGGGAACCGACGATTGATTGTGTCTGTGTTTTTTCCCTCCTGATTAAGGCAAGGGCAGCGGTGCCGGCACCCGTTCCTCCTCCGAGCCTCGGGTCGCCGTCGTGCCCGTTGGCGTGGGCCTGTTCACCAGGGTCGTGGGCATCCGTGGCGCCGCTGTGCGCAGACAGGCTCAGCGTCCTGTGCGAGCGCAGCCTCGGAGGCAGGGCGAAGAAGGGTCACCACCACGGGCTCCCATCGTACTTAAGGACCACATCCGGAAATCATTTCGAGCAACCAGAAAAGTGTCGAAAAAGTGTCGAAAGAGTGTCGAACGAGTGTCTCCCAGGGCCCGACACGTGAAAACCCTCAAGTGTCCGTACTTTCTTGGCGCTCGACATTCTTTCTGGCGATCGAGGCTAAAGCAGGTTGGAACATCATAACACTACGGTTAGGTCGGGCATGTCCCCCTGCAGGGGGATGTTGGGCGAAAAATGGAAAATAGTCAACAAATATAAACCCAGAATGATCAACAAATAATCGAAACATCGTCCCCGGACGATGTTTTGACTACCTTTGACTATTCCCCCTGTAGGGGGACGTGCCCGACCTGACGCTGCGGGGGGCGCCACTGCGGTTAGGTCGGGCATGTCCCCCTGCAGGTGGATTTTGGGCCAAAACATGGAAAATGAAAACACACACGCACACACACACACACAAAAAGAAAGCACCTAAAATGGTTAAACAGGTAATCGAAACATCGTCCCCAGACGATGTTTTTGATGAACGAGCAACACACACCCATACCCATAGGGGGGTCGTTAGGAGAAGGACTGGCTGTGGGTATGGGTGCGGATTGTCGGACCCTGGGGAACGCTCCCGTTCGAGCGGGGACCCCCATCCGACAACACGCACCCATAGCCCTCTCCGACCCCTGTATGGGTATGGGTGTGTGTTGTTGGTTCGTCAGTTTTGACTACCTTTGACTGCTCCCCCTGTAGGGGGACGGGCCCGACCTGACGCTGCGGGGGGCGCCACTGCGGTTAGGTCGGGCATGTCCCCCTGCAGGTGGATTTTGGGCCAAAACATGGAAAATGAAAACACACACGCACACACACACACACAAAAAGAAAGCACCTAAAATGGTTAAACAGGTAATCGAAACATCGTCCCCAGACGGTGTTTTTGATGAACGAGCAACACACACCCATACCCATAGGGGGGTCGTTAGGAGAAGGACTGGCTGTGGGTATGGGTGCGGATTGTCGGACCCTGGGGAACGCTCCCGTTCGAGCGGGGACCCCCATCCGACAACACGCACCCATAGCCCTCTCCGACCCCTGTATGGGTATGGGTGTGTGTTGTTGGTTCGTCAGTTTTGACTACCTTTGACTGCTCCCCCTGTAGGGGGACGGGCCCGACCTGACGCCCGCGGGGGCCACCGCGCCTGCAGGGAACAGAAAAGCGCCGGCGCCGCTCTTCCGGGAGGCGGCGGGCGCCCCGGGGAGGCGCCCTGCATCGCCCTCCGCAGGACGACCGGCGCGAAGGGCCGAGGCCCCCCCCTTCCGGCCAGGTCGGGCACGTCCCCCCACAGGTGGATTATTGGGCGAAGGATCCAAAAATATACCCAATAAATAGTCAACACATGCCCACGACATATCAAAGCAGACCCAAGAAATGTTCAGAGAATACCAGAAAGAAATGCTCAAGAGATTGAGTTAGGTCGGGTTGGGTCAATGCTCAAGAGATGTTCAAAACATTGCCCAACAAACTCGAGAACTCGTCCCCAGACTGTGTTTTCACTATGTTTGAACATTCCTCCTGTAGAGGGACAGGCCCGACTTGACCCTCGAGCTTCGATCCTGGAAGCTCGCTTTCCAAGAGGAATTGGTGACCCCCCTGCGGTGACCTCCCTTGGCACTGCCCGAAGCCTGTTGATAGAGGGACCGCGCTGCTGGTCGAGCACCAACGTGTGCTGCCGCGTGGAGAGGAGGTCCCCGACCTCCAGGGTCGCGCTGCCCAGGAAGTCGTCGTGCGTGAAGCCGAAGTCGTCGTCGTACACGTCCAGGTGCATGAGCTGCCTGGGGCTGTACACGAAGAAGTCGCCCGTGGCGGTGCCCGGGGACCACCTCTCGGAGGCTGCCACGAACTGATCCTGGCCCAGGGCGCCCGCAGCCTGACGCGCAGTCTGGAGACCCCTGGGGCCTAGGGGCCGTCTTGGGCAACCACCTGCGCACCCGTAAGGGTGGTATCTTTGCCTAGGTGGCTTCTGGGAGAGAGAGAGAGAGAGAGAAAGAGACAGGGGCAGTGGAAGGGGACGATGAAGCAGGACAACACAGAAACCACCTAGGCAAAGATACCACCCCCACCCGTAAGCACCCTGCCCCCGCAGGTACCCTCCCCGAGCCGACTTCGACCTCAGACCTCGGTCCAACTGCGTCTGTGTGTCTCCTCGTCCCTGTTCTGGAAAACCCGCCCTGGGTCAGCGGCGGCGATACGAGAGAGCAGCCCAGGGGCGGGCATTACACGCATTCGCCCGGGAGCCTGGTCGAATCCATAGGCCATCGGCGGCGCCCCTGGGTACATTTGCTGCTCTCCCCTGGGCCATTCGCCTCCATCGTCGCCTCTGACTGAACCCCTCCGCCGCTGGAACCCCGGCGCAGCAGCCGCCTCAGCCCCCGGGCGGCGGGGCTGGCCGCGCCGGCCGCCCTGGGAGCGACCCGTCCCCCCATGCGCGGCCCTCGCCTTTTTCCCTCCCGGGGGCCGCCCGCCCCTCCCCTGGCCTTCCAGGAGGGCTAAAAAATAGCACCCGACGTAAAAACCTATCCCAGAGCTATTTTACGTCTTGGTTTTAGGCTGTTTCGTCTCGTGTTTTAGGTTTTTAGGTTTCCAGTGCTAAAAAATAGCTCTCTGGAAGGTCAGGGTCCGTCCCCCCCTCCTCCTGCATGATGGCCCATTCGCTACGGCGGTACCCCCGTGCAGCTGGCCTCTTCCGCCCACGCAGATCGACCCTTGCCTCGCCCTACAGGTCGGGCATGTCCCTCTACAGGCGGATCTTGGAGGAAAAACAGCAAGTCAAAACAGATGCAAGCATATGCAAAAAGAATCGAAACATCGTCCCAAGCGTGTATTGCTTGTTTGACAAACAAAAAAAGAACTAGTTTTGAGGGTGCATCCTATATAGGGACAGGTCCGACTGAAGCCGAGCCGCCGACGTAAAAAGTCTGTTCCTCCTCCGACGTTGCCCCGCGCCGCCCGCCTCGGGTTGGTGGTCTTCGGGACCGTGGCGGTGCGGAACGTCTGGGAGCCGACCTGCATGGTGCAGTAGGGGTCCGCGGCGGTGCTCTCCTCGCAGCTCCCGCGCCTGCCCTGCCTCAGGGCTCGAGCTGAGCACAGTGCTGTTCGTTGTCGATCTGTGTTGGTTGTCCTTCGCTTCCGATGCATTTTTCGTTTTGGCTTTGGCCGTCCCCCGTTTTCGTTTCGTTTCGGTTGTCCTTCATTTCCTTCCCTTCCTCCTTATGGTTTCAGCGAGACGCAAACGAGAGCGGTCCACGAAGTCGCCACGACCAACACGTGAGCGTTTTTTTTCGGCGTTTCGACACTGGGCGGAAAGGGGGGGTGAGGGGGGGGGTCTGGCTCCGGACCTGGACTTAGTGCGACAGCTTGGGACCGTGCGTCCCATGGGGGAGAAGCTCCACCTGCTCGAAGCAGGCGCCACAAAACAGACAACACCTTCTGGCCATCGCTCGGACGTCCATTCCCTCTGCTTTGTTCGGTTTCGTGCGTGGTTTTTTCGCCAAATGATCAAGGATGCTCCTCGACGGTCATCGCCGAAGGAAAAATGCACACGTCCGAGCGATGCCAGGCCTTATGCCACAGGGGGGGGGAGGGAGGGTGCGAGGGCCCGCGCCGATCGGCAGGGCAGCGAGTGGAAAGACGCTCACACCCCGTTGAGCTCGAGCCCCGCCCTGCCTCGTCCTCGAGATCCTGCGCATCATGTCCGTCAGCGACGGGTCCCCCGAGGGCAGGTGGCTGGCGGAGCCGACGCACACGCGCACCACGCCCCTCCAGCGGCGGGGAGCAGGAACAGTTGGGCGAGAAGCAGGCACGGGCCTCAGGCTCAAGTCGGGCGCGTCCCCCCTACAGGGGGATCTTCGACGAAAAATGAAACATACCCAAAAGATACCCCCCAAAAAAACTCAACAATGGTCAAACAATAGTCCCCAGACTATTTTTTCAACTATTTTTGAATTTTCCCCCTGTAGAGGGACAGGCCCGACTTAACTCCAGCGGCGGGGAGCAGAAACAGTTGAGCGAGAAGCAGACACGCGCCTTAGGCGACATGGCACGGCGGACCTTACTCTGGGTGGCCTCAGAGGGGGTCCACCTGCAAGGGGGTGGTGGAATAGATTTGGGGCAACCGTATTGCAAATGTACTGCGCCGGAGAATTGTATTGCATTGTACTGCAACTAATGTATTGCACGCGAGAATCCAACAATAAATTTGCGCCCCGGATTGTATGGCACGCCCCAAATGTATTGCAACCCCACAAATCTATTGCACCAAATCTATTGCACCACCCCGTTGTCGCTGGACCCCCTTTTGGGTCAACCCGGCTTACGCGGCGGCTTACGCGGCGGCTCACGCGGGCCGCCGGCGCGGCACGCCACAGTGGAGACGATGGCGCCTACGCGCGTCCCTACGCGGGAAGCTTGCGCGCAGATGTCTGTGCACACGACCCTGTCTTTCTGCGTCGCTCAGTGGGCATGACAAGCAGAAGTGTTGCTAAGACTATCATCCTTCTGAGGTCCGCGCAGATCTCCTGTGCCGGCGCTGGGCGCCTTCCCCCTGGCGCGCGAAGCGCGCCAAGCGCGGCGCCGGAGACGCCGCCGGGGCCCAGCACCGACCCGAGGAGTGTCGGAGCTGGGGGTCCCAAAGCGGTGCGGTGGCAGACCGTGCGGTGACTTCAAGGTCCGGGGCCCGAAGTGGCCCGCGCCCGCTTTTCTTGCCTCCTGGGGCTCGCGCGCGCTGCGCCGCGCACGCCCTGCACGGCGACGGCCCTGGTAGGCTCTCTGGGACAGGCCCAGAGGAGGCCTCGGGCTTTAGCGCCTCAGTGGTGCCCCCTCCAGCCTTTATAGGCCCCGCAGAACCAGAACCAGAACTGGCAAAGACCTCACCACGCGGGTCGTCGCCGCACCGCTTGGGGACCTCTGGGGGCCCCAATTGCCCGAGACATCCTCGGAGAGCGACTCGGTCGGCTACACGCAGGAGTGACCCTGGGCATGCGTGACCTGTCGTGCGCGGCCTTCGGGGGCCGCGAGGAGGCCCAGCCCGAGCGCACACGCCGCTGCTACAGTCAACCCGTATAAGAAGGATGCGCGGCAAGGATGCAAGGGCCCTGGAGGGCCACGTGAGCGTTTCTCGAACGAGGCTGGCCAGCGAGAGTCGCTAAGGATGCGCCGCAAGGGCAGAGATGCAAGGGTGCCCATCGGTCGGACGAAGCAGGTTTAACTCGGGCCTGCCCCTCTGCAGGGGGAAAATTCTAAAATAGTTGAAAAAATAGCCTGGGGACGATTTTCTGATTTTGTTTTACCATTTTGGAATTTTTGTTGGGTATTTTGATATTTTTCTTCCACAATCCCCCTGCAGGGGGACATGCCCGACTTAAAGGTAGGCAGAAACATGAAGTAGGAAGACGTTGAAAACAGACTGGCTCTCCGCCCGCCCCCTGGAGGACGGAATAGGTGAAGCCACTCGATCATTGGAACAGGAAGGCGCTGAAAGCAGATCGGACTCTGGGAATCCCAACCCCAAAATCCCTGCTTTCAACGACCGACGGGAACCCTTGAGAAGGTTGCCCATCCTTACTGTTCGGTCGGGCTTGCCCCCCTGCAGGCGGATTATGGGCAAAAAATCAAAAATACTCAAAACATAGCCGAACATAATAAACAACTGCTGAACAAAAATCGTCCCCATATGATTTGTTCGACTATGTTTGAATATTCCTCCTGTAGAGGGACAGGCCCGACTGAAGCTTACTGTGCGCGTTGACTGTGTCGCATCGGATTCGGGCATCTGGGGGCCCCGGCGTGCCCGCGCGAGAGCCCCTCTGGCGAGGGGCCGCCGCTCTTGCGTGCAGCCGACCTGCGTCCCACCACCGTGCTGCCAATCTGGCCACCGCACCGTCCGGCACGCGCCCCAGACCCTCCTCCTCCTCCTCCTCCTCCTCCTCCTCCTCCTCCTCCTCGTCCTGCTCCTTGTCCTCCTCGTCCTCCTCCTCCTCCTCGTCCTCCTCCTCCTCGTCCTCGTCCTCCTCCTCCTCCTCCTCCTCCTCGTCGTCCTCCTCCTCCTCCTCCTACCTCCTCCTCCTCCTACACCTCCTCCTCCTCCTCCTCCTCCTCCTCCTCCTCCTCCTCCTCCTCCTCCTCCTCCTCCTCCTCCTCCTCTCCTCCTCCCCCTCCTCCTCCTCCTCCTCCTCCTCCCCCTCCTCCTCCTCCTCCTCCTCCTCCTCCTCCTCCTCCTCCTCCTCCTCCTCCTGCCTCCTCCTCCTCCTCTTCCTCCTGCTGCCCCTTCTCCTCCTCCCTGGCCGCAGCCAAGGCTGGAGCCGAGGCCGGGGCCACCGCCTGGGCCAGCTCCCGGGGTGCGTTCTGACCAGGATTCCCGGGCGCCCCGGCAGGCCTCGCGGAGGCAAGCACGGAGCAGGGCAAGAGCTGGCAGCAGCATGCACTCGATAACTCATGAAGGGGCCCTGGGACACACAAATAGATACACATCTCAGGATCCCCACCATTTTCTCACAATTATGTTCGTCTTCCCCCCCTTCCCACATGTTCCCATCTTTTCCTGGGAATCGGCGATTCATTGTGTCTGTGTGATTTTTCCCCTCCCGAGATAAACCGCACCAGATCGGACCGGGCGTCGAATCTGGCCGCATCGGCACGTGGTCAGAATCGAACAGCATCGGCCGCACCAGCATGCAGAGCAGCGCTGCCCAGACGTCGGGCCGCACCAGATCGCCGGAACATCGGGACCGAATCGCATCGAGCCAGCCGAACTCGATGTCGAATCGGATCGATCGCATTGATACAGTGGAGGCCAGCCTACAAGAAACCTTCCACAAGAAAGCCAACCCTGAGACCCCAGGACGTCCATTCATGAGGTGGGAACGTCACGCTTTCCATCGCAAAACCATCGAAACCCAAGAAACCCAGGGCACCCTGGAGGCAAGCAGGGTGATTCTTGGCATGGGCCTCCACTGCAGGCGACGCACTCAGGGTGAAGTGAGAGGGGGCGGGCCTTCTCGGCAGGCTTGGAAGTCCTCCGGCCCTCTGAGAGGTTGTTTGAGCCTCCCCCGACGACACAGACAACTCCTCAAGAGGCCGGAGGGGCTCCGAGAAGCCCCGCGGCCTGCTGCGAAGGTCTTCTCCTCCTGACTTCCCCTCGGGTGCGCCGCCGCATTTGGCTTCTGGGTCAGAGCTCGGGTCTCCGGCGGCCGTTTGGGACGATTCGGGCACCCATGGAACGCCCTCGGCGAGGCGCAGGTGCGAGCTGGCAAGCATCACAAGGCTAGGAAACCGCCGAGAACCGACGAAAGCGTCCGAAAGCCTCGAACCTCGAACCTCGCCGCCGAATTGACACGGGCCCTGGGAGGGGCGGTGGACAAAGGAGGACATATCAACATGAAATATAGAGGCCCGCGCGGATCTCTTGCCGGGATCCACCAAAAAGGGGGGGGGGAACGCTGAGGCGGGGCATGAGTTCGATCCGCTGGTGCACCGAACCGCCGCAAACAGATGCCCCCCGCATGCCCCACCCGTCGGCAACCATCGGGAGCTGCATGCGGCTGGGGGGCACATGTGTTGTGCGGTTCGGTGCAAAAGCCGATCCAACTCTCTCTCTCGCACACACCCTTGTTAACCCCCCGAACAAACCTCTAACCTTGGGGAGGGGACCTAAGTTGGGAGGGCCCGCAACATTAGGGATAATTAGGGGATCTTTTCTGCAGATGTATCGAACCAAACCGCCCATATCTATTAGTCCTGATGCAAAAAAAGGGGACCTCACTGAGGCCACGTCCTTACTGTGTTATTAGGGCTCGGGGTTCTTAATTCTCGATGACCCCCGGGGCACACACCACCGTTGCGGGATCCCGATCTTGGATCGGCACGGCCCCCATCCCTGGCCGGGCGGCGCCCGGAGGCACCGCTGCAGGGGGACCTGCATGGCGCCGCTCCGAGAGGTCCGCGAGGGCCTCCAGAACTAAACGGCCAGTCGTTGAACGGGCGCCACAGTCGGACCGCAGTCCGGTAGGCCGGGAGGAGGAGGAGGAGGAGGAGGAGGAGGAGGAGGAGGAGGAGGAGGAGGAGGAGGAGGAGGAGGAGGAGGGAGGAGGGAGGAGGGAGGAGGGAGGACGGAGGAGGGAGGAGGGAGGAGGGAGGAGGGAGGTCCGCCCCTCTCCGTCGGCGGCGAGGCAGAGGCGGTCCGCTCCAGCGTGTGGCCATCCGGGGCAACCGAGAGGCTCACTGTCTGGCGCGCAGGATGCAAGAGGGAGGGAGAGGACGAGGGCGGCCGCGCCGGGGGGGAGGTCGAGGGGAAAGCGCTCAGACACGGAAGAGTTCCGCGTAGACATCCCTGAAGAACACGAGTCGGGGGCGCGCAAGCATGGATCAGCGATCCATGGATTTGGCGCGCGGTCGCCTAATCCATGGATCGGGGGACGTGCCCTCCGCAAAATGCGGCCGGTACTGCCTGGCTCGGCGGCGGCCATCCGCGATTTCCCATGGAAACGGGAGCCGTCGCTAATCCACGCCCCCTTGATCCATGTTTGCGATGCCAAGACAAACAGAACGTCCAAGCCCCCCCCCCAGGATGCACAAGAGCATCCAGCACACACTAAGAGGAGCACTGGGGTGCCCTCCCCGAACCGGCCTCGACCTGATGCCTCCGTCCGTCTGTACTTCATTGGTGCCGTGGATGACCATATAACCTTGTATGTGTATATATTATATGTTATTATATATGTATACGTTTATATATATATATAAACAACAAAAAACACGCCGCGGACCCGGGATTCGGAGATCCGCGCGGATCTCCTCATCCAGGGCGCTCGTGAACCGGGGGCGGCAGCACGCCCAGGGTGCAGCACGCGCGCCCCGTGCGCGCCCCCTCGGGGCCCCGCGGTGGCAGTCCACAACGGCCCCTCGGGGCCCCCTGAAGCCGGGGCCGCTCTCCCGCAAAAGCCTCCCATGGATTTGCTGTGGCGGGCGCGATGTTCCGGCACCAAAAACCGATGGACGTCCTGGGGTCTCAGGGTTGGGCTTCTCTGTGGAGGGCTTCTTGTGGTCGGGCCCCCACTGCATTGAAACGAGAATGTGTCAGGCCACGGCTTTGCTCCTTATCCTCGAACTCGCCCTTTCCCACGGCGAGTTTAGGCCAAAAGGCACCGATAGAGCTTAGCCGCTCTATCGGAACCTTTTGGCTCTCCCCACTGGGGCAACCAGAAAGTACCGATGCCGCCACTCCCCGGACCCCTCCCAAAATGCGCTCTGACCAGAAAGGCGAGGCGAATCCGGCGGCGGCGACGAGGGCCTCCGAGGAGGCCCCAAGAGGGGAAAACGAGGAAACAGTAGAGTTAGGTCGGGTCTGTCCCCCTACAGGAGGATGTTTTGAGAAAACTTAGAGAGATACACCAAAAATGCTCAAACGTAGCAAACAATAATCCTAAAACCGTCCCAATACTATTTTTTCATTTTGAGCAGTAGAGGTATGGGTACCTTTTCCTCCTCTGCCCCACGGCGAGCTGAGACCACGGCAGGTCGGCATCGGCTGGAGCCCTCCAGGAGTGCGAACGCATCAGATGTCCGAGCTGCCTGCGGCCGTCCGCGGCGGCGAAGGCCCCCCCCCCTCCCGACGAAGTAGAAGAGAAGGCAGCTATGTAAACATGAACTGTTGGCGCTCCGCGCGGAGTTCTTGGATCTGCGCTGAGCCCCCCTCCCTGGCGCGCGGAACGCGCCAGGGGCGGCGCTGGATGCGCCGCAGAGGGGGCTCCGCGCAGAGCCAAGTTATGCTTATAGCGTTTGATTTTCTTCGACGAAGGCCAACTACCGTGGTCCCCATTCTTTATCATTCGAATGTGCACTGGCGTCGCGGGTTCTTCCACGTCTGAACGCCCTCGCCCTCCACCCTTCGCGCGGCCGCACTCGTCTTAGCCTTCCTCTCTTGCACGCCGGACAATTGGCCTTTCTGTTGCCCCAGTTGGCCCCACGCTGGTGCGGATTGTCTCTGCCTCAGACCTTGTTTTTTCGATAGCGGGGGGCAACGACAGGGTGAACTGGCGTGGGGGGGAGGGGGGAACATCGACCTGCAAGACCTCCGATGTATAGATGTTTCAATACCGCTGGGCAGCGAAAAGGGGGGCTGGCGTAGGGGGGGAAACATCGATATATCGGCAATGGGCCTCCGATAATGAATTCTCAAGGGGCTATCCAGCTCCTATCGGCGACCATAGAGCGATTAGGGGTCGATGCATCCCCCCCTGGTCCTATCCCCCCCCTACACGTCGGCCGGAATACATATATATATATATATATATATATATATATATATATATAAACATGATGCAGAAAGGCGGAAAAGGCGGATACAGCAGGTTGGATCCAGGCCTTCCCAGAGTATCGTATAATCCGCAAAAACCGATCGCCTCTTCAAGTAAAATGGCGCTTGAAAAAAATGGAATCTGTGATCCTAACAATACCTACTTTCACCAAGCGGCGTGTATCGCTGCCCCTAGAATACGGGGCCCTCAGAGCTCTGAATTGAGCAGGGACCGACCGTCCCGGCATTCCTACAGGCTACTATAGGCCTACCGCAGCATGTTCGTAGAACCCCAACATGTTCTAAAGAACAAGAGCAATGATCTTAGAGCAGACACCCGATGTGTTAAAACAAAACAGTCCAGGCCAGACACGTTCTAATAACATTTCGTGCAAGCCACAAACATATCAGAACATTGTTTGGTGGGCCTATACAGGACCGCCAGGACGCTTCGCCACTGCTTGACTGCTGCTGCTGCTGCGGTTGATGAAGGTAGTCCTGCAACCGCCTGTCCTGCCAAGCACCCCTCGTCTTAACACAAAGGGGGTCGGGGACTCATTAGGGAAGACGTGAGACGCAGAGAAAAGGTGAGAATAACGAAGTAGTAGAGAGCAAATGCATTACTGCTTGACTGAACCTCTTCCTGGGGACCGGCAACGGCGTCTGAGGCCCCGCGGGGGCCCGGCGAGGGCTCGCGGAGGCCGAGCACAGCCCACAGCCTCTGGTGGTGCTTTTTTGAACCCAAACATCGGGCGTCTCGGAAAAAACGATACGGAGGTTTTTCGTCGTTTTCGGCCTCTCGGGGCCTCCGCCGGGCCTAGGGACCGTCAGAAAACGACTCGGGACGGAAAACCGGCTTCGGGGAAGTGGTCGAGAGGTCGGGGACCCGCGTTTCGAAAAAATCGAGACGTCGGATGTCTGGGAACGACCCGAGGAGACGAACGACCGAACGAACGACGCGATCAAGTGGTGCTCAGTGCGGACGCGGCCGCAAGAGACCCACGCAAGAAACCCGGCCCTGAAGACCCGCGCGCGAGGTGCGACTGGTGGGAAGCCCAGGGCAGCCCGAACGCAGCCGCTTCTTCACCGACCGCGGAAAGCCACCGCGCAGCGCGCGGAGCGAACAAACCCAGAGCACCCTGACAGAAAGCAGGCGGTTTCTTGATGCGCGCCCCCAGTGTTTCTCTCGACCCGAGGAAAACTGTCCAGCAGCGCACCAAGATCGGCCCTGGCAGCCGCAGACTTCCGGAGGAGCCCGCCCCAAAAAGAGGCATGGGGTTTCGGGGGCCCTGTCCACTGCCTGTGAGACACACGTTGATGATGCCAGCGCTCGCGCGCTGGCCGACTCCCAACCCAGTGCTCTGAGCTGAACCTCCGTGCTCGAGGCACTTCCGAGATGTTTAGGGCGGGGAGGCTGCGGAGGCGGAGGTGAGTCAGAAGCAAGAGGAGGAGGAGGAGGAGGAGGAGGAGGAGGAGGAGGAGGAGGAGGAGAGGAGAGGAGGAGGAGGAGGAGGAGGAGGAGGAGAGGGGAGAGAGGAGGAGGAGGAGGAGGAGGAGGAGGAGGAGGAGGAGGAGGAGGAGGAGGAGGAGCGTGATCTTCGCGGACGCCCTGCTGGGCGACTTCCAGGCCGCTATGCTTGCTATGTTGCATACGTATGGACGCCTCGGGTCTCGTCATCCCATGGGCATTGAACGCAGCAGCAGCTTGAGGAGGCGGAGGAGGAGGAGGCGGAGGAGGAGGAGGAGGAGGAGGAGGAGGGAGGAGGAATCACAGTGGGGAAGGAGGGAGGAGGAGGATGAGAAGGAGGAGGAGGAGGAGGAGGAGGAGGAGGAGAAGGAGGAGGAGGAGGAGGAGGGAGGAGGTGGAGGAGGAGGACAAGGAGGAGGAGGCGGAGGAGGAGAGCCTCGATACCCCTCGCGTGCATTGCCCCCCCGCGGGCGACCGCCCGAAGCGCTCCTCGTTCCAGTTTTTGCGCCAGCATCGCCTCTCCTCCCCCCTGGGCCTCGGCGGCGGGAAGCAAAGGTTGCACACGTCGACGCCCAGCTCCCCCTCGGGGATGAGGCCGAAGTGCAGGCGGGAGGGCAGCACCAGCCGGTCGGAGAGCACCTGCGCGGCGCACCACAAAAACGGTTGTTGCGCGAGGAGGCGCGGCGGCCTCAGGCCGCGGCACACAGCGGAGGCCAGCCCACAAGAAACCCTCCACAAGAAACCCAAGCCTGAGACCCGAGGGCGTCCACTGTTTTTTTGGCGTAGGCGCGTCTCGCTCTCCAGAGCAAAACCTTCGAAGCCCAAGGAACCAAGGGCACCCCGGAGGCAAGCAGGGTGTCTCTTGGCAAGGGCTCTCCACTGTAGGCCGCGGCATGCGCGGGCCGCCCGCATGGCACACCGCGTGGAGATGAGGGCGCACGCGAGCGGCCTAGCGCGCGGAAAGCTCGCGCACGAGTGACAGCGCAGCCGACCTCGCGTATTTGATGGGCGTTTTTTTCACCACCACCACCACCATAGGTTGGAGGAGGGAAGGAGGAGGAGGACGAGGAGGGAAGGAGGAGGAGGAGGAGGACGAGGAGGAGGAGGAGACAGAGGAGGAGGAGGACGAGGAGGACGAGGAGGACGAGTAGGAGGAGGAGGACGAGTAGGAGTAGGAGGAGGAGGACGAGGAGGAGGAGGAGGACGAGGAGGAGGAGGAGGAGGAGGAGGGAGGGAGGAAGGGAGGGAGGGAGGAGGAGGAGGATTAAGAGGAGGATTAGGAGGACCTCCTCATCCTCCCTTCTCCCCCGTTCTACATGTGATAGTGGTGGTGGAGCATGTGCCCAGCATTGTTGCGCCGCTCGCCTGGCAGAAGATCCTGCGCATGATGGTCCTCACGAGCACCGCTCCACCGAGCCCTGCCCCCACCGGCCTGGACTTGGCGCTCTCCGCTGCTGGCCCGCCTGCCCGCCCGGGTGGAACTATAACTCGGGATCGCGCAAAGATGGATTAGAGGTCCGTGGAATTGGCGCGCGGTCGCCAAATCCATGGATCGGGGGGGGGGCCCTCCCCAAAGTGCGGCTGGTGCCGCCTTGTTCGGCGGCGGAAATCCGCGATCCTAATGGAAACGGGACCCGTCGCTAATCCACGCCCCCTTGATCCATGTTTGCGATTGCCTGACTAAGCCCGCTCCTCCGGTGCTCGCGGGGCCTATCTTTAGGTCGGGCATGTGCCCCTACAGGCCGGTGTGTCAAACTAGTCAAACAAATATTCGAATATTGTAAACAAATAATACTGACCAGTTTTTGAGTATTTTGGAATATTCCTGGTGTAGAGGGACATGCCCGAATTGAGCCTATCCTATCTCCACCTGGGAGGGTCGGCTGGTGGGGCCGAGATGCCATGGCCCAGTGGGGATGGGGATAGGTTGGGCAGTGCGGACCTCAGGAACTCCGTGTTCGCCAGGTCCTTCATGGGCCCCGTGAGCTCGAAATCCGCTCGCTCGCCGAGGGAGAGAGCACCGCCGAAACGTGGCCACGAGAGCGTTGGTCCTTCGTCGTCGATTCGCGTCGCCGTCGCCGTCGCCGTCGCCGTCGTCCTCTTCGTCGTCGTCCTCCTCCTCCTCCTCCTTGTCGTCGGCGTCGTCGTCGTCGTCGTCGTCCTCGTCGTCGTCGTCGTCGCCGTCGCCGTCGCCGCCGTCGTCGTCGTCGTCGTCGTCGTCGTCGCCACCGTCTCCGTCGCTATCGTGGTCATGGTCGTGGTCGTCGTGGTCGTCGTGGTCGTCGTCGTCGTCGCCGCCGAACATATGTCAAGAGCACGGGCCCTCCCGCAGAAGGCCCAGGGCCAACACAGAGAGCGTGCACAGACGAGAAGCCGAGGCGGAGGGCCCCAAGCAGCGGCGAAGAGCACCACGAGGGCACCCCCTTCCATCCAGGAGGAGGGAGAAGAGGAAGAGGGAGAGGAGGGGGAGGAGGGGGGGAGGAGGAGGAGGACGGGAGGAGGAAGATGAAAAGGAGGATTTCCAGGATTTCCGCCATTCCGTAGAGATGAAAAAAGCTGGGCTAAGATCCGACTTGGAGCGTAAGCCCCTCGAGATCCGTTCGAGATAACCTCGACGGGTCTTGGAGACCGGCAGAGTGCACGGTTTGCCGAAGCCCCTGAGCTGGGCCTCCCCCCCAAAAAAAAATGCAAGCTTCACAACACCAGATCTCCATACTGCTGTGGTCTATTAGGGTGTCTGTGGGGTCAACCCAACCTCTTGCAAGGTGTATACGACGTCCACGGGGTGGGCGAGATAACAAACCATCTACAGACGGAGGTTGGAAACACTCGCGTTTTAACCATTCGGCCATACAAGCTTTAGATACCGAGCCTTTACACACGCTGCACGGACGCGAAGCGTGCGACAGCAATAGGCGGTGGCGGGGGAATGCGGGGCGCAGGCCTGGGGCCACCTTCCGGTCACTACTGGATTGAGCAGCGGCGATGGAGTCAAGACCGGCGCGCTGCAAGCGTTCCCTGACCAGCCTTGCCTTGAGTTCGGCTCGGGCAGCTCTGAATATGTCAGCCTGCGAGACACGCGCTCGACTGACAGCCCCCTTGGCAAGCTCATCCACAACTGCGCTACCGTGCATCAGCCAGCTAGGCCAACTCCTCTCTGCAACTTGACTCACGTCCAAGTGAGACGGGACTTGGATGACTGCAACTACTGCTGGGTCTCTATGCTGACTAGCTCTGTGCTGGCGAAAGCTCTCCACAAGTCAGCTTGAGGCTCTGGTGGTACACTGAGCTGGCCTGCGTACCAGCCTCTAGCGACATCAGTGCAGTCAGCGACATACACTAACGATCCTAAAGAAAACCTGATGGCCCATCCAAATGCCTGGAACCCCCCCCCCGAGGCACTGCCTGGCTGCCCCCCCCCCCCCCCCGAGGCATCCACAAAGACGATCAACGGCTCCTGCGGGCCCCCCTCTCCGAGACAGGCAGGCCCCAGCGAGCCCCCGTTAAGGAGCCCATTGCCTATTCAAGATTCAGAGGAGGGAGGAGGAGCGGCAGCCGTCCAGGGGGCTGGGACGAGCCCCCCCCCCTCCAAAACAAGGGTGAGCATCTGAGTTGGCAACCGCCTCTGGGAGCAGAGCGGTTGACTGAACGCGCGCAAGTGACAAATCATTTTTGGGACACGTCCAACATCTGTGCAATGCCGGCTCGCGGCTGATCCGGCACCAGTCGCAGATGTCGCTGTCGCGCAACTGGACATCGAAACTCCGTGCTTGGTCCAGAAACCACCCGTGGCGATGGAAACCAAGAGCTCTGACATTTGCCGCCCTCTCCTGGCATGACTGAGGTCGACCGCGAACTTACGCGACGACTGCATGTCAACTCCGTCCTCTAAGCCTGGCCCGCAGTGCAAACCGCGGCTGGGCGCCGCGGCCTGAGCTCCATCGTGGACTGTAGCTCGTCGGGCAATCGGGTAGCCCGGTCCAGGCCCGAAACCTTGGCATATCCGAACTTCCAAGAGAAACCAGCCTGAGCACCGCCATTCGGCACATCTCTTTCAACTGGCGACGCCCGCGCCCACCCCGCCTGCAGCAGGTAGAGTACGACTGCGGCGAGTGGCCCCCGGACGCGCCGACTGCGAGCTCGGGCTTAGTGCGCATCAGGTGCTTGGCCGCGGCTGGCTCGGGGATCTTCTGACCGGGGTCAATCCAGACCCGGGCCAGCAGGAAACCAAAAAATGCAACGCAGGAAAAAAAGCTGCAACGCAGGTCTTCGCAAACCCGGGTCAGCCAATATGCGCGGCCGCCTCGCGGCCACGAGCGGCCCCCTACCCGGGTCAGCCAGAGGGGGTCTTCGCAGGATCCTGCAGGACATGGCGCTCTGGCTGACCCCCGTTTGCACTGACCCCCGTCTCGAGGCCCCCGACTGTCCACGCCGGCGAAATGGCCGGACTGGACTGCGGCCCCCCCAGCCACGCGGAGAGTCAGAGGGGCGCGCACCGCCGAGGAAAGAAGAGCTCCTGGGCCAGCGCCTGGCAGCCGAATGGCCCTCTCTTTGCGGACCCTGCGGCCGCTCCAAGGCGCCTCCGCGGCCGCGGGGCGTTGGGGCCGAACGCGCCGCAGATCGGGCGACCGTGCGCCGCGGACGCCTGGGGCCCAGAGCGCTGCAGCTCTGCTGTCGCACGCCGCCGCCTCGCCGCGCGGGCAAAGCGCCTGGGTCTGCCATGTGACTTAGCAGCCGTGGCGGCTCGCTTGAGCGCCGTGGCCCTGCCCCGGCGATGCCCCGCGCTCGAGTCGACTCCTAGGAATGAAGTCTGTAGCGACGCTGACAACGATGCGCCTCGCCAGCGCAATGCTTTGACAACAGAAGCCGCATCTAGATGGCTAGAAAAGGTGACCACGCTCTTGGGGAAAATTCCAAGGCCCAGACGCGCGAATTCCTCGACAGTGTCGCGGGCCCCCTTGATGGGCGCGGCGCGCGCCCAATTCCGCGACCCAGCCGCCCGCTGAGAAAGACCGTCGATCCAGATCCGCACTTGGCGAAACGCGCGCCGCCCCTAAGCCCCTGCACGATCGAACGCGCGGCTTGGGGAGGCCCCGACACCGAGTCGAGCTGCGCCGGCAGCCTCGGGACGAGGCACAACTACAGCTCGAGGAAGAGAATCACTGGGGGGAACCCCTCGCTGACCGCGCATCTCGCAAACGGCCCCACAATGCCGCCGTAGAAGGCCTCCACGTCCAGACGCCCATGCCCATGCGAGATGCGCAGCCTGGACTGGGACTCGCCCTGCAGCGACCTGACGAAAGCCTCCGCGAGGGCGCGATTGCCAGCCACTGCAACGCCCCAACCATCATCCTGCTGAGCCGACCATCCCTTCATCTGCAGCTCCCTGACCATGGACCAGGCTCGACACAGCATCGGCAGCAGGCCGATGACGCGATCCCCACCGACTTCTTGGCGACCAGCCTGCCGACCATGCCCATGACCTGCTGCGACCTGGAAAGGCCTTCCTCGATCATGGCGACAAGGTCGCACGTGTCTTGCAGGCCTTCCAACGGCAGGCGCCCGAAGCCGGCGGGCATAGAAGACGACTGCGGTGATGGAAAAACAGCCGTCGAAAGCACCTGAACCTTGAGCACAAAAACTGGGCACTGCTGAGGCCTCCGTGATGGCCCTGTGAACGTGACGGTGCCCCTGCGGCATGAAAAGCTCGCCGCCGTCGTTGGCCTTCCCAATGTTGGCCTTCGAAGACGCTCTCCCTGTGGCTCGGGCTGGGTCGTCGACGTACCTCCACTTCATTTCTCTGGCATTGCAGGCCCACTGCGAGCGAGTGCGGCAGCCGGCAAGGGTCTTCGTGAGGCTGATCTCTTAAAAAGTACGTGACATAAAAAAGCAAGCGCGCTGAAATGAGCCCAGGCCCCGGGCCCGAGGCGAGTGATGCTCGCGAAGAACATGCTGCAGAGCTCAAGACTGGCATCACTCTCCGCTGCGCCTGGCGGCTGAAATGGCATGGTGGCCGCGGGGACCGCGTGACCCTCGGCCGCCGTGCAGCCCCGCAGCTGCGCGTCGTCGATCTCGGCAGCCCGCGGAAACGCGATCGCTGCAGCGCCCACCCCCGCTGCCGCAGCTGATCTCAGCTTCTCCATCTCGGCCTTGACGTCGGCTGCCGACGGAGCGCCATGGGCTGGTGCTGCACTGGCCGCGGCTGGCGCTGCCGCCGTGCAAGCTGTCGCCGCGCTGACCTCACCTGCATCGCCGTCGGCGCGCCGCTTCTTGGTCGCCTTCCTCTTCAGCACCCGTCCTGGAACTCCTTGGCCATGAGGCGCCACTGCGAGACCTTCTCGGCCTTCGACTGCACGCTCCCCTCGGCGGCCCTCAGCTCCATTTCCGCCTGCTTCAGCTCAGCCTTCTCGTCCGCGCCGCAGTCGAGCTCGTCGACGTTGTCGAAGAAGCTGGTGTCCCAGAACAAGTCGATGAGCGGGACGTAGCTGTCGGCCCTGGCGTGAGACCTGTGGCAGTGTTGCATTCCTGGCATTTGCACCCTCGGCTGGCGAGCAAACTGTTCCATTTATACGTTCCACAATGTGAGCACTTGGTCCAAGGGGCTCGAGACTGGTTCCGCTGATGTCTCCTGAGGAGTAGCCTGGAGCTGAACCTTCTTACCCAGGACACGTTTCGTCACTGCGCCCCTGTAGCCAACCAGCTCTGATTGTCCGACAGAAATATGGGATTGGACAGCGGCTGGTGCCTCTCAAGCGCCACATAAGAGGCGGACGCTCCTTGGCCCCTGCAAAATGCCTGGGCCAAAGCGGAGTATGATGATGATGGTGATGATGAGGAGGAGGAGGAGGAGAAAGAGGAGGAGGAGGAGGAGGAGGAGGAGGAGGAGGAGGAGGAGAAAGAGGAGGAGGAGGAGGAGGAGGAGGAGGAGGAGGAGGAGGGCGCCTCGACGTTGCGCCTGCGTCGGGCCGTTTCGAGGCCCTCTGGGCGCGCCCCCATCCCGG